GGTGAGTAATATCAATTTGAGGGAAAAGAAGAGCCCTCTGTATTTCTTTACACAGTTGGATATCCAGCTGCTCTTGTTTTCATAGTGCAAGTGCATTTCCTTTGCAAACTTGTTAGCTCCTGCATTATTTGGAGGCTCTGCCTTTTAAAAGCAGGCAGCACTTAAAAACTACGGGGCAGAACCTATCTGATTCGATTGCTGTCACTGGCAGCTGGCGCACCCAGCGCCCTCTGAGGAAGCGAGCTGCCCTCTAGCCACTGTGGATATTGTCAGACCCAGCACATCTGCTGTCGTTGGTGACTCGCTGCACGTGGTACCACTGTAGGGGCCAACGTGCCATTCATGTGCAGTTTGGCAGCGTCAAAACTCACACATAGAGACAGCTGGTGGAATAGTTTGCTAAATGGTGCGCCCCCCTTTCATCTAGCCACCTGGATGATACTGAGAGGCACAATGTGACCATCACTCTTTAATGCATTGGCCACAACTTCTTGGGAGTTTTCAAAAGCAATACAACATGCTCAGTTTTTCAGTACAGCTCCCAAAGCACTCTTGCTGGTTTCAGCCTAATTGTGTCTCTTAAGTGCCTCTTGACTCTGACCTTCAATTCCCTCTTACTGTCTATCATTATGCTTCTGTTCTCTCAAGTGCGATGACTTGCAGGGACTCTGATATTATGCATCCATTCCTTCAGTCACTCAATAAAAGTTTATAGAACATCTTAAATCTTAACTCTCAAAGATCTTAAAGTTTTGGTTTCCTTTGCCTCATCTTTCCTTTTTTTTTTTTTTTGTCCTTTCTTTCTAGTGGCTGTGACTTATGGGGTTGAAGGGTCTATGCTTCCTGGGTTTATTCTGTTTTTTAAAAGTTTATTTATTTACTTATTTTTGAGAGAGAGAGAGAGAGAGAGAGAGAGAGAGATTATCAAGCAGGCCCCACACTCAGCTGGGAGCCTGACACAGGGCTCTAGTCCATGACCATGAGATCATGACCTGAGCTAAAATCGAGAGTCAGATGCTTAACCAACTGAGCCACCCAGGCGCCCCTCCCTGGGTTTATTCTTTATGGCAATGTTTGTCAAGCTCTGAATCACGCCCTTCTTTCCACCAATCCATCCATGATATTGTCTGTTGCGTGGTGGATTCTGGAAGCCGCTGTGCTTCTTAGAGATTCCCTGATGAATTCTCAAAGGGCAGAAATTTAAATGAAATACAAAAAAAAAAAAAGAAATACAACCTTTGGAAGCCATAATTTATATAAAAGCAAGCCTAGCCTGTACCTGTTGCTCTCAAATTCAGTAGTCTACCTACAAGGTGACCTCAAAAGTACTGAATACTTTTAGCTGGAAATATAAGCTGTGTTGCCAAAATATTGCCAAAATATTACCTGGCTGCCCAGGTAACTAGAACCACTTTTTAGTTCTTACTTGTTGGTCAAATTTGGTGAGTCTAGATAATCTTAGTAGCAGAAGTCTTGCCATGAATTAAACCAATAATTAGTTGAGCATTTATTATGTGCAAGGCATTATGGGACATATGAGGAGGTGCAAGATACAGTTGCCTCTTTTGAGGAACTTAAATCTCATCCTAGATACACACACTCACACACACACACAGAAATTTATAACACAAGTGGCTGATGAATCATCCAGGTATCAAGTGCAGTAGGAAAGCAGAAAAAAGAATGATTATTGGTGGCTGGAATCATCAGAGTAACATAGGGGCAAGGGGGCATTTCTCCATCCCAAATTAGACTCTTTAAAGTCAGGCACCCCTGTTTCTTTTAAATTGAGTGCATATTTGCGGATTTAGTTGCTTTCTTGTTTCCTTGGAAGATTATGTTAATGAAGTTTCTTTGAAGAATTGAGACCTTATTTGGGGTTATGTGTTCTTTTTTATTGTTAATCATGAGTTTGAGTCATTGTAAGATAATTATACCTACAGAAGTTATTGAATGTCAGGGCATCAGTAGTGACTAGACCCCACGTCTTAGAAACAGATGGGCCTGAGTTTGTATCCAACTTTCACCCACCCTAGTATGTATTCAATGTATTTAGTCTCTCAGTCTCAGTTTCCTTTTCTGATAAATGAGGACATATTCCATTTAAAATTTATTTTATAGGATCACATAGGCTGCTAACATATGATGCTTCTGTTTGATTCATACAGGGTATCTTATCTACACTAGCAACTGTTATTATTTCCCTTTTCTAGTTATCCCAATTCATTTCATATATGCAAGGGTGCTTCTGTTGAACACACAAAAGAAGTCTGTAATTTTAGGAAATATTTTGAGTTCGCTGGATTAAACTAAAGTCTTTTTAAAGTTAATGCTTTCAACCATTGTACAGGCTAGAGGACGTCTCTTTTTTTTCATGTTGTTTAGATCTTAAGGTACTTCGTGGGTGGTCCGCCCACTGAGTTTCTTCTTTATTTTTTTTCTTTCTAAGCAGAGTATCTGTAATTCCTAAAATGGGTATTTTGCCAATTTTCACATGCCTTGTTTTCTCTTCTCAAATCAACATGTCTCTGTATTTATACAATTCAGAGTTCAAACAACATTCATTACACTGCTGTCACTGTACATAAAGACAGTCTAAACTTGTTATGCCCGAATATAAAACACAATCCAACTAAGTGAGCAGATGTGTCGTAGAAGCAAAGCCTCACCATGTTGTTCCTATTTATTCTTTGCCTGGTTTGGAGGGCGTGCCTGGTGCCATGAGGTGGCGGATAAAGGGTCTTGCCAATTGAGCTCATTTCATGAAACGTTTTATGCACATTTTGTTTCTCTGTTCTGTTGCACTGCCCTTGGGTGACAGAATGGTTTGTAGGAAGTTTGGTTAAACTTGTCCAGCCTTTGAAAGGACTTTAAAAATGTTTCATAGTTACAAAAGTGAAGTATGCTTATTTCAGAAAATAAGACACGCCTCCCTAATTTTGCAGCGAAGACCATGAGCTTTCAAAATGCAGGATGTGTCTGCAAAATTCCATCCACGTTTCAAATTTTACCGCACATTTTTCTCATGGTATTTTGCTTGTTTTCTACTTCTTTGTGTACCTTCCTCTTATAATAAAATGAGAAAATACAAGCCCTTGTCTGTGGAAAGTAGTCCCAGAATCCCCCGTCAGACAGAAATCTTCATGAAAATGAAATTCAAATAAAATGAGCCTTTTCCTTAGGCTCTGTCTTCGGTTAGTATTACTTCTTGGGATCAGGGGATCAAGCTGTCCATCAGCACTAAGCCTAAGGAGTTCATGCTACGTTCCTGCCCCATTTCTTAAGTGTTGCTTGCTAGTGTTTCCAGGACGTGTGCTAGGATTTGGAAGGAAGACATCCATTGTTTGGATATTTACTAACACTTCATAATAAAATTGAAAAGAATACCTGGGCATAACTGACATTTTAGAAAGGAATGATTTACAAATTCTGCATTCTTCCAGCTGGATTGTGTTTGGAAAAACAGTCCCTTTCCTTTGATTATTTGTTACAGTATTGCTAGGAATTACTGTCCTCACCCCCTCTTTTTCCATCTTTCTGATTTTCCGTTGGCCTGGGGTATGTTTCTGAACCCTTGACCAAAGACCGTTTACACTCATCAATATTTATTCGATGGGTCCGACCCCCATGACAGGGGCTCCGGGAGGTGCAAAGAGCTTAGACATGGAACGAACAGCCTGCATTCATCTTCTGATTTTCTATTTACTCCCTGTGGTGATAGAGAAGGATGTCAGTCTCTCCTAATTTGTGTTTCCTCATCTGAGCACATGGGGATGCCGTTTAGATCCTTCCTCAAAGGCCTGTGGTTTAGGACAATAGCAAAATTACCAGCTGCCTTCTCCCTGTGTGCTGGGTTCTTGCTTAACTTAAAAAAATATATATGACAATGAAATTTCTAAGAGGCAATGAGACAGACAACAAAGGATTGGGGGTGCTTGTTTCAAAGTTCCTATGAAATACAGTATTACTCGCTCTGCTTCAGTCCTTTGGCAAAAGTGTGATTCTTTCTGTCTTGGGGTGAGAAAGACACCCCCAAGGGCCCACTGGGTGGTCATGGCGGCACCCAGGGTGTTTGTCTGCGGCTCACAGGCACGCTTTATGGTGAAGTCCAGGATTTAGAAGATTTGCCCTTCACAAGAATGAAGCCCAAAGTGGGAGCCCTTGGTGACAGCTAACTAACTTCAAGATCAGAGCTGACATCCAAACACAGCCAGTTTTCCTGGTGCAGAAAACTGCAAGGCAAAGGTTTGTTTTTCCTTTTAACTTAATTCCTTCATCGACACATTACAAAGTAAGCAAGTGTAACTTCACAATTTCTGGATAAGGAGGCTCTAAGCAAGAGAGACTGCAGGTATGAGCGTTTTTTTTCCAACCTTGGTGTAAAGGATTTTTTGGTCATGGGACATGCGTGTCTTGCTTCACGTTGCTTAAGGGTTCTCCCTTGTACTAGCCCTGCACATTCTGCATGACGATATGGGAGTGTTTATACAAAAGGGTGTGGTTATCAAATGAGATTACACACTCCCACCATTTAGCATGCTGCCTGGTCCCGAATAGACTCAATAAATGTGAATAAAGACCCTTAGCCTCATACCTGTTCCCACCGCATCAGAGCTGCTGTTTAAATACCAATAGTAGTGGGTTCTCAAGCTTTCTATCTGCTCTTCTTCCATGTTGTCTTTATGGAAGACTTCTTTTTTCAATTTGCTATTTCACATATGGCTGACTATACCACCACTGCCACCATGTAAGTATTCTGTGTATAACACCTACTCCAAACCACCTTGTCTGGGCTGTGGTGGAGAGGGAAGCTTTAAACCCATTTGGTTTTAGACAAGGAACAAAAATTAGTTGAAAAATACCATGTAATACTCTCCCCTGTTTCTAAGACTCTGTAACCATTTAATTCCTTCTCTCTACCTCCTTCCCCCAATGCCGCCTGGTTAAAGGCTTCCTGTTTAAACATTTCGTGTTTACTTCTGCGTGAGGTCATCTGAATTATGTAGGTCACCAGGGTCGTCACTCTGCAGGATGAAGAGATATTTGGTTTGGGGAAGGATCCCCAAGACAAGATCCTCACTCCTGGGCCTCCCCCCACCCCCAAGCAATTGCCAGTTTGTCATGAGACTTTCTTTGGACACCAGCATTTCCCCTTGAAGCGACTAAAGCCTGCAGGTCTTCACTACAAAGCTGGTTGATATAACATAATGTAGCAGAGCAATTTTGAGTTTATACACTCTTATGCTTGAAATGAAAGAAGGGGATTAACTCTTAGTTCTTATTTGAGCCGTATGTGTGTGCGTGTGCGCGTGTGTGTGTGCATGCACACACACATACACATACATGTGTGCTTGGTCAGTTCAGTTCCTGAAAGCCTGGCCATCCTCACTGTGGATCAGGGCCACACTTACCTATCTCAGAGAGGCTAGTGTTGCCACCGTCATACTTGTCGAGACCCAGCAAGGACCCAACATCCTCTGACTGTTGAAAGTAGAACCCGTTTCCTTTGGATCCTACTGGCACCACAAAGAGGATAAGCCAGGAGGTGACCTCAAGTGTTGGCTGTTTTTTCCCATGGATTATCAGTCTGTGTGAAGACCAACTTACTTAGAGAAAAAAACAAAGAAAACTTCTTTCCAGCCCTACCCTTGCACCTAGAAAGACAGCCCCTAACCAGACCACTGATACACTTGTGAAGAGCAGTATTTTGAAAAGCAAGTGGTGAGTTCAATGAATAGGCATATTGCAAAATCTTCTGGATTGGATTAAATAAAACTTTTATATGCCAAAACAAGTGGAAAGGCTGCTCTAAGTTACCAAGTCTAGTAGTCCTGATGAGCATGTCATAGTAACTGCAGCATATAAATGGATTCTTTGGGGGAAGACGAAAGAAAATATAGTAATTCTATTTTTTCCTGAAATCCTACTTTATCATCTATGTAACTGCTTGAAAACAGTGCACATGCAATGTCAGATGTTCTAAGAAGGAGGACATCTGCTGGATGTCCTTGAAGAATCGGTGACATTTAGAAAGGAAATAAGGCTGCAATTGATCTCATGATTTGGGCCAAGGCAGTGGAGACAGAGAAACATACAGATTGAAAACAACTCAAGAGCAGTGGCTAAATCAGGGACAGAGTCTGAAGACTAACAATTTCATGAGGATTATGTGGACACTCAGCACTGGAATATTTATTCTCTATTCCATAAACCTATAGCATTCCAGGTAGGGTGTAAGTCTAGGTCTAGAAAAGACATCTACCTTCACTCAAGGATGGTTTACATCCTTGAAGCAGAGGAAAAACAAATGAAGGCTATGGGGCCATGTGGTGTTAAGACAGATGAAGGAATGTGGCTTGGGAAGAAGTAAGCATTAAGAGAGGGCAGAAAAGGATGCATAGATGATGCAAAAGGAATTCTAATGGGATGTAGCCGTCAGGAAACTAGCCAAGAGGTTTGTATATAAAGACTCTACTCATTAGATGCTTATCTTAAGCAAAGAAGGCAGAAGCGATTCTGAATGTTTCTGAGTCATGTCCTGTTAACATTCATTGGGAATACCATAAAACGGGATTCAGATATCAGCCAACAATATTGGAAGATAATCTGGGGAATTTGATCATGAGTATTTAGATTTCAGAGACTGAGATTGGCTGAAAGATAAGATTCCACATGAGAACCCCCCCACCCGAGATTTTTCAAAATAATGATCCTCAGCTCCAGCTGTATATATTAGAATCAACTGAGGAGATTTTATGAGACTCTTTTGATAACTGAACCTTCTAGAGATTCAGGGGAGGGGCACAGGCATATTATAAGTGACTCCAATGTGTAAGCAGATAAAATCACTGATCTACAGTAGTTGGTCAGAAGTACAAAAAGGGGAGAAAGGACGATTCCCCAACACACATCCTAGGTCAGTGTTTTTCAAATTCAAGCATCCATCCACCTAATTTGGATATTACAACACAGCTTTGCTGTCCCTGCCTTCAGAACTTCTGATTTAGTAAATCTGGGGTCTAAGTTCTGAGAATTTGAATTCCTCACTCGTTTCAAGGTGATATTGATGCTCCTGGACCAAGGGCCACATTTTAAGTACTACCAGACCAGGTACACTGTGAGGAGGAAGGTGGATTTACAACTGGGGTAGTACAGACATAATTGACTCACTGGTTAGGCCTTAAGTTCCACTGATGTTGTGACAGCTTGGGGAATAGCAGTTGTGGTCAGTGCATAGGCTAGAACCTTGCTACTCAAACCGTAGTCCTCAGACAAGCAACACAGAGTCACCTGAATGCTGGTTAGAAATGTATAATCTCAGGAGTCCCTGGGTGGCTCAGGTAGTTAAGGGTCTAACTCTTACTTTTTAATGTTTTTATGTCTTCATATTATTTTGAGAAGCAGAGAGTGAGCGGGGGAGGGGAAGAAAGAGAGGGAGACACAGAATCGGAAGCAGGCTCCAGGCTCTGAGCCTTCAGCACAGAGCCCGACGCAGGGCTTGAACCCATGAACCGTGAGATCATGACCTGTGCCAAAGTCGGATGCTTAACCGACTGAACCACCCAGGCGCCCCAAGCACCTAACTCTTGATTTCAGCTCAGGCAGTGATCTCATGGTTCATGGGATGGGATGGGATGAAGCCTCTTTGCTCTTCCCTCTCCACCTTTCTCTCTTCCTTTCGAAACAAATACATAATACATAAAATAAACTTAAAAAATGTGTAGAAACCTGGGCCTCACTCTAGAGCCAAAAGATTTACTGTAATAAGGTCTTCAGATTATTTACATGCATTCTAAAGCTGGGGAATCATACCCATGGTTCTTAGCCTTGGGTTTGTATTACAATTTTCCATGGCGTCTCACATCATAGTAATACAATATGAATCTCTAGGACTCAAACCCATCGTTGGTACTAGTACTAGTTATTTTTAGTATTTTTAAATATTAGTATTAGTCCTAGTATTTTTTTAATATTTTTATTTATTTCTAGGAGAGAAAGAGAGAGACAGCATGAGCAGGGGAGGGTCAGAGAGAGAGGGAGATACAGACTCTGAAATAGGCTCCAGGCTCTGAGCTGGCAGTCAGCACAGAGCCCGAAATGGCGCTCGAACCCACGAACCGCGAGATCATGACCTAAGCGAAAGTCGGATGCTTAACCGACTAAGCCACCCAGACGCCCCAGTCCTAGTATTTTTAAAAAGATCCCGGGGCACCTGGGTGGCTCAGTCGGTTAAGCGTCCGACTTCGGCTCAGGTCATGATCTCACGGGTTTGTGTGTTCGAGCCCCGTGTCGGGCTCTGTGCTGACAGCTCAGAGCCTGAGCCTATTTCAGATTCTGTGTCTCTCTCTCTCTGACCCTCCCCTGCTCACGCTGTCTCTCTCTCTCTCAGAAATAAATTAAAAACCTTAATAAATAATTAAAAAGTAAAATAAAAAGATCCCTGGATGAATCCAGTATGCAGAAGACTCCAATAACCACTGATCTAGAATATTACTTGCAACAGGGTACTCAAGCTTATTACTTGGCTTGGCTTGGCTTGCCATGACTCAGGAGAGAGGAAGGCATTGGAGCTACACATAGTGAGCACTGGGACACCCATAGTGGACACTAGAGTATCCAGCTGGGAGGCGAAAGGACAGCAGAAGCAGGGAAGATGATGCAGGGAATGACAAAACTGTGTCCATCTCACGTCCTTCACCGGAACATGCGCATTGCCAGGCTGAATATGCAAAACCAGTCAGCTGGCATTCCATTGGGTTTTCCTAGGTCTCTTCCATGATACAGTCTCCTTATTTCCCCAGGGTTAAATTGACCCCTTACTTGTACCCTCCTGTATATAGATATAGATGTTTCCAGAACACAAATCTATCATAGAACCTACTGATGTTAAGCTTTGTTTCGTTTATTTTTGTGTTTTTCTTCCCTCAGGAGATCATAAGCCTTTTAAGTTTAGGCAAAGGTCTTGTTTGTGGCACTTGGAACTTATATCTATACATAAAAATCTATACATACAGATGCATTCAGAGAGAAAGCAAATATGGCAAAATATTAACAGTTGCTTAGTCTGGCCAAACGGAATAAGATATAAGGTACTTTATTGTAATATGGTTTCACCTGCTCTCTAGATTTAAATATTTAAAAGGTAAAAATTATGAAACAATACATTTGAAATAGTCTTTATTTTTTTAAGTTTATTTATTTTGAGAGAGAGCTCGCGTGTCAGCATGGGAGAGGGGGAGCAGAGAGAGAGGGAAGAGAGAGAATCCCAAGCAGGCTCTGAGCTGTCAGCACAAAGCCCAGCGTGGGGAGGGGGGGGCGGTTCCATCCCATGAACCAAACAGTGAGATCATGACCTACGCGGAAATCTAGAGCTGAAGGCTTAACCAACTGAGCCACTTAGGCACCCTGGATTATTTATTTAAATTGGCAGCTGTTGCTTTAAATTAGTGTTAAAATATTAAAATTCACATTGTTATCATTTGTATAAATTTTGTAGACTATAATTTCCTTCCCTTAAATAGACTTTGATTTCTGAAGAGACTTAGGATTGCTTTATACCCACCATTATATGAAAGCTAAAGACATAACTGTACCTTATTGATTAAATGCTATTTCTTTGTGAGAAAAATGTTGGCTTGGTACAATTATTCAGATTGCCTACTTATGCTTATTTACTTATTTAAATCTGAATTTCCACATTAATTTCAGTCAAAAAAAGGGCCATGTATAGTCTTGGAAATTCATTTTGTTTTTCTCAATTTTTCCTTTGATTACTTATAATACTTAAGTGTAAAATGGCAATTTAGATGATAATTGATGTGATTAATTTATCTTTCTGTCACATGATTCTTATTCATCACTAGCCTTATAATAGTTTATACGGAATTTCTCCTGTTAAGCCTTGAAAATGGCTGCTAAAATCAAAGTGTTTTTGTCTATATTTTTGTTCTTTGTGAACAGCTAGAACCTTTGCAGGGAGAGTCCTTGTTTGTGTCTCTGGAATCTCAACTGGGGACTTCTTAGTACATTAACGTAGAGGAATTTTGTTGTTGTTATGTGATTTCTATGTAATTAGAAAAGTGATCTACCCCTCATCCTAAAAAATAGGTGAATAATCAACGCATTTGATCTTGCCATTTAGTTTTTTTGGGACAGGCTATTTTTAAGAATTCAAG